GGGGTGACGGCTCCCGGGAATCGTCGTCCCGCGATGGATGCGGGTGTGCGCATGCGTGCACCCTTCAGGCCGCTGAGGCAGTCTGTTGCCGGAAGTCCCGGGCTGGTTCTGCGCGTGCGCAATCTCAATAGGTGCCTTAGCTGACCAAGCCCTGAGTTGTCCAAGGTCACAGGCACAATGAGGAGCTGGGAGTTCTGGGCCCTGGGGCAATTAAAGAGGCAGCGCTGTGTTGTGAGGGGGAGGGTGTGCGCATGCGTGCACCCTTCAGGCCGCTGAGGCAGTCTGTTGCCGGAAGTCCCGGGCTGGTTCTGCGCGTGCGCAATCTCAATAGGTGCCTTAGCTGACCAAGCCCTGAGTTGTCCAAGGTCACAGGCACAATGAGGAGCTGGGAGTTCTGGGCCCTGGGGCAATTAAAGAGGCAGCGCTGTGTTGTGAGGGGGAGGGGGAGTCCTTATGTTTTGCTCCTATGTTAAGGTTGCCAACCCTCCAGGATTGGCCTGGAGTGTCCCCAAATCACCATCATTCTCCTGGTCCTATGGCACGTGAAAGATTTATTTGGGCATAAGCTTTCCTGGGCACAGACCCACTTTCTCAGATCCATACATCAGATGCTTTTCATGGGTCTGTGCCCACAGAAGCTTATAGCCCAATACATCTGTTAGTCTTCGCGGTGCCATAGCACTCCTCAATTTTGCAGATAACACAGCTACCCCTCTGAGATATTAATGGGATAGTTTAAGAAACTGACATTAAGTCATGTTAGGGGGAAAAATCTCCAGGAATTGCTTCAGAGTTGGTAACCCTACACTATGTCCTTCAGCAGCTTCCTGCAGTGCCTTGCAGTAACTTCCTCCCCTGCCCTCCTGCTGGGCTTGAGGGAGGCCTGAAAAATGCCTTCCAGCAAGTGGGCTTCCCTGACCACACAAGGCTGAACTTCTTCTCAAAGGGGATTAGCAGAGTGACAGAAAAGCAGCACAAAAGCAGAGATGGGTCTTAAGCATCCTCTGTTGCTGTGAGATAGGGCCCGCAGCCCTGGTATCCCTCAGTCTTTGCATCACCCTTGGCTCTGCAGTAGCTGCACAGCCCCAGGGCAGTCCATCCAGGGTTTTCTTCTATGCCACAGAGAAGTGTTCTAGATCTTGGCAGGCCATCTATGCTCTCTCATGTACTCCAAAAGGAGCTTTCTGCTCACTCCCATTTCAGAAGGGACTCCCGGCTCCTCTCACCATTTTTTCCCTTCAAGCAGGTAGGCAGTGTTGAATCACAGAAACTCCCAGCGCAGAATGCTGTGACCCTGCTAGGCAAGCTCCATCCGGTGCCTTTCTCTGCAGATGCTTTCTTTCCAGGGTTACATATCCCTTTTTGTAGCAAGCAACGTAATAGTCACTACATTTCTGTTAGCTGAAACATGGTCGTAACATCTCCTCTCCCCACATCTCAACTATCATAATTGTGACAAGTTCTCTGTGCCCTTAGATCTACTCTCACACATTTTGAGGACAAGATGACTAAGAAATTAGGGGGAGAAACCTGCAACACATCTTATTTCTACTGGGGCAGCAGGGAATGACAACTGTTCAGGGAGAAGGCAATCCACCTCATGTCCCCCCTTAGCTATGGGGCTGGATCCCAACATGCAATGCCTTTTGCTTGCCTCAAGACGGTGCAGTGCATGCTAGGACTCAACCTTTCTATGGACCATCCTTTGAAAGCCTTCATCTAGAGAGCCATCCCATCCATAGAACGCTTAAGGGCAGCCGCCCTGGGCTCCACTTTTGGGAGTCCTGTGGGGCCCCAGATGGCTTGAGGGATTACTAGGGGGCCTGGCACTAGCAGCAGGGGTTAGGCCCGCCCCCACACTCACCAGCAGTGGTGGGAGCCATGGGAAGTGAAGCAACCCAGCCCCAGCCTGCTCTGTTCCCCATCTCGCAACAAGATCTCTCCATTTCACTGCAGTGGAAAGTAGAGTGATCTGACCCCAAGAGTGGTCTGGGCTCGGGAGAGTGGAATGGAATGGTGCTGGGTCATTCCACTTCCTGCCACTGTAGTGAGGGGGGGTTGAGTCGGGCTGCTGGCACCAGCCTTCCCAGAATCCCTGGGTTGTATTGCTCAGGGGAAGGGGCTCAGGAGAAAGGGTACAATGGGGGATGAAGGAGGCTTTGCAGGGGACAGGAAGAGGGGGGATGAGGGTAAAGCACAGATGGGACTTGGAGGAAGGGGTGGAATTGGGGCATGGAAGGGTGAGCCTGGGTCGTGTCATTCTGGGGAAGGGACTTAGGGGAAAGGGTACAATGGATACAAGGGGGGGTTGTCCGCACCCCACTAGGGACAGCCCTGCCTGCACCTACATTAAAGATGGGGCATTGTATTCTAGGACCCGTCATCTTCCTGGTCTGTCCATCCCTTTGTATTATTGATCATTGCATTCTGAGACGTTCCAGGACTGTGGGACGTATAGCACCACTTCATAGAAAAATTTCCCCTGGCTCACACTGAAGCGCTGCATGCTGGGACCAGTCATTTCCCTAGGCTCCAAAGCTACCTTTCAAGATAAGAGCAGATCAGAGAATTCCTGTGGGCTGGATTTGATTCACCTCTTCTTCATAGTGGCATCATTCATGACTGTACAAAAGGTTGTAGCACTTTTTTTTCATTCATTTTAGGGTATGCATTAGCCCAAAATTTACCTATTTTCAACTCACAAAACAAGGTGCTTTTAGTGCTTCATGTTCAGATATAAGAAGTGTTAATTTTTCAAGCCAAAGTGATATCAAACTTTACACAAATTAAATGAACGGCACATTGTTTCTCTGACTGCTTCCTCCGCTGCCTTAATAATATTTCCATCATCATCATCATCATCCATTTTAAAGGTCAAATTTGGCTTTTGAGGGCTTTGCATTATACCTTACTTCCAGCACCATTTGGTGATCAGAAAATACAATTGCTTTAGTTTGTCTCATCATGGTGTCTTGCGGTGTGATGCTTTCCAATACAGGAAGTCCCCAGGTTACGTACAAGATAGGGACTGTAGGTTTGTTCTTAAGTTGAATTTGTATGTAAGTTGGAACTGGTACATATTGTAGGGGAAACTCTAGCCAAACATTTCTCCAGAGCTCAGTTTTATTCTCCCACACCTCACTTCCCTCAGTCCTGCAGACCAGGGAGATGCGGAGCGGCTTTTCTTGCCGCAGCGTGTCTCGGCGGTCTGCTGGGGGGGGGGGCGCGCGCGCAGCTAGTGCGGGGTTGCCTCACCTCGTTTGTAAGTAGGGATCCGATGTAAGTCGGATCCATGTAACCCGGGGACTGCCTGTACTGAGAAACAGATTTAGGATAAAGCAATATGATTACAGTGGATTCTAGGTAGTTATTGACTGAATGTCCTGAGGCTTTCTGACTAATTAATTTGGCAGCGAGTGTCCCATCAAGAGGCATCATTTGTGACAAAGGAGAACATAAAGCACAATCCTGTACAGTGCTAAACACTATACTCTCCCCAATTCCCATTAAAGTCTTCAAGATAAGGTGCTTAGCAAGGAGCCAGGCCTTAGTTCATAAAACCTTTCCTGTTGAAAAAAACCTGTCTTTACCACGGTAGGTTTTGATACTGTTACCGTGTTAACTTAATTTGCGGATGTGAGTAATAAAGAGGCGTTCCTAGACTGAAATACCTTCAGGACACTGGGATTTTCTGCTTCTCCTCAAAGCAATCACAATTCGGATGCAAATAGGAACACTGGCTACTTGGCTGATGTCGATGAGGCATGAACAGAAGATTAAGAACATAAGAACAGCCATACTGGGTCAGACCAAAAGGTCCATCTAGCTTAGTATCCTGTCTGCCCCAGAGGGAGGGAACACAACAGGTAATCGTTACATGATCCCGCTTGTGTCATCCATTTCCAGACAAACACAGGCTAGGGACACCATCCTGGCTAATAGCCATTGATGGACCTAACCTCCATGAGTCTATCTAGCTCTTTTTTGAACCCTGTTAAAGTCCTAGTTTTCACAACATCCTCTGGCAAAGAGTTCCACAGGTTGATTGTGCACTGCATGAAGAAAAACTTCCTTTTGTTTGTTTTAAACCTGTTGCCTATTAATTTCATTTGGTGACCCCTAGTTCTTATATTGTGGAAATAAGTAAATAACTTTTCCTTATTCATTTTCCACACAAGTCATGATTTTAAAGACCTCTAGCATATTCCCCCCCGCCCAGTCTCCTCTTTTCTAAGATGAAAAGTCCATGTCTTTTTAATCTCTCTTCATATGGGACCCGTTCCTACCCCCTAATCATTTTTCTTGCCCTGGGTTAGATTTATGAGATAGAAGCTAAATACTCAATAGTCTCAAAATAATGAGTGCAAACCCTACCTCATGAGAACAGCTCAAGAACATGGCTGGAGGAAGATCCCCCTTCTGAATATTTATTTGTAATGTGTTGCATGAAACAGAGCTGCTGGTGTGGATTACTCCATCTTCCACAAAGCAGGGAGTGCTGCCAGAGATCAATGCAAAATGCCCTTGCAAGCATTTCTGTGCTACCAGGTAGGGCAGGTCAAGCCAGAGCAAGTTAGAACAGGAAGTTTGCCGCTTGTTTCAAATGTATTTGTATTTAGCAAAGAGGGGCTAAGTTGGCAGCTTACTAAAAGCCCAAAGGCCCACCAATGAAGCAGATGGCATTAACCCTTCTTTATAATTTAGCAATGCAGTGGAGTGATTACAGGTCTCAGCATGCAACATGTGCTTGTCAGAGAGAAGGTTCCTCTCTCCTGCATTGCAACGGATATTGTAAAATATTCTCCAGGCAAGTACATTCATTTGGCTCAGGAGCCCATCCCTGTTTTGCTCATGACACAGCCACATGATCTGGCATCCGGATGCTAAGCAAACACCTGGAGGAAAAGAGCAGGCCGAGGCTTAGGTTCAGTTCCCAGTGATGAGCAATGTGTGATTGTGATTGACCTTAGGTGATTGATCTGCTTGGTCAAGTGAAGACATCTTCGACTGAGAATGATGGAACAAATGTGGCATATATACCTTCCAATAGTTACTGATGCTAAGTCCTGCACTGTGCAAAATTTCTGTAATGCACCAGTCAGCCCTTGAGTGAAACTAGAAACATCTTCAGGGGATTCATGCTTCTCAGTGTCATCACTATCATACACTTGTACATATAAATTGTGGCCTTGATTTTTCTTATACTCAGAGCTTTCTCAAGTCAAAGGCACAGAACACTGCAAAATTATTTCTCGGCAGCCCAGGCTGAGGGTGATGAATCATAGAAGATTAGTGTTGAAAGAGACCTCAGGAGGTCATCTAGTTCAACAATTTCATGCTCACAGCAGGACCGTATTCCCTCTTCAAAAATTCCCAGTAGCAAATCTTCAGCAACTAATCCAAACAGCTACCTTCGAAAAAAAATTCCCAAAACTGTGGTCAAGCTCCATTCAAGTGATCAATGGATAGTTCTCTCTAAAGTGCATACCTGGGTAACTGCACACAAGAGAATGGCTAATTAGTGGTTCATACATGTTGTTCCACTAATTAGGTGCTTGGACCAGGGACCCTCACATGTAAGGGTGAGGTGGTGACTTTGGGGAATATAAGGGTAGGTGGAAAGGAGCAGTGGTGTGAGGTGGGGGAAATAGGAGGTAGGTGGGGAGGCAGTGGGATGAGAAGGGAGGCAGAATTTGGCACATGCAGGGTTACGGTGGCCAGAAAAAGAAACAACTTTTCTCGGTTTCAGGGCTACAGCTGCCATGGAGAGACAACGCTCTTTTGCAGTCCCCACTGCTGTGACAGGGGAGAGACCCTCAGCACTTTTAAAGTGGTCTGTGAAAAAAAAAGTTTGAGAACCACTGCCTTAGAAACATCAAAGTACCTGGGTTTAGGTAGAGTTGGAAGGCCTTGAGTGACATGAGTGTGGGTGGCCTTATCTTAGGGAATGTCTTCACTACAGGCTGAATCAACGGGCACTGATCACTTGAGCTGATAAATCAACTGCCGAGCACTCTCCTGTTATTCCACCAAAACGAGAAGAGTAGGCGGAGTCAACGGGAGAGTGTCAGCTATCAACTTATCACAGTAAGCAGACCTAAGTACATCAACTTCAGCTATACTACAATAATCTAGCTGAAATTGTGTAATTTAGGCTAAGGGCCCACGATAGTATAGACAAGGCCTTAGTACCAGATATGCATTGCAGGTTGGGAAACCATCTTCTTGGACACGTTCTCCCTCCGAAGAATTGAGGAAGACAGATTCTCTCCAAAGATAGGATTTTTACTCTTTTTTTTTTTTAAGCAAAGCACCACCCTTGAAGTCCAGCATACCCTCTATAGTCACCTCCTTTGTTGTTCCCAGAAAAACACAGAGCACACACTGAAGGACAGATTCAAGGATTGTTCTTATCAGCACTGATGGAAATGTGCCAGCCCCAAGCTCATTCCTTGCCTCTTCACAGAGCAGCAATAAGGTAACTGGCCCTTTTGCGGAAAGCCAAGACCAAATGGCACCAAGCAGGCTCATCATGAGGAGAACATGTCAGAAACGGTTAGCATACGTCACTGCTTCTGAGGCTCAGTGAGACTGCCAGAGGGAAGGCTTGCTCATGTGTTTCACCTGGATGGCAAACTCCTCAGCTCTTCAGGAAGCATTCTAATCAGTGGAAGTAGGTGAAATTACTAGTTCAACCTGTTAGGCCAATAATTAATGACAGTTAACGAATAATTGGGCCCTCACACCTCATCACCTCACAGCATTCCATTCAGGTGTCTTATTTCCTCTTCCTTTGTGAGACTATGCTAATGCTATGTACTTCCACTGCACCTGTCAGTTGGGGATCTCAAAGCACTTTGGGTATTATCCCCATTGTATGGGTGGTGAAACTGAGGCACAATATGGTAAAATGTTTTACCCAATGTCAGCTCTCTTTGTTTCCAGTTTCCTTCTCTGCCAACCAGAAGACACCACCTCCAGTAGCAACAACTGTAACTGAAACATGCTTCACTGAATGTGAATTTTATTAAAAGACTTTAAAAATAATGGGCCTGAACCTGTCCTCATGCTATCTTCTGTGCAGTCTCCATTACTGGCAGTTTGCCACAATAGTAGTCCATTTTATAGAGTCCTCTTCTTACCTCTTTATGGACGAACACACGTTTTAATCCATCCAGGATATCATCTCATCACCCAAAACTTCTTTTTCGAATTTTCTATGTTCTTCTGCCTGTCAACTTTCCTCTCTAGTGTCCAAAAACATGAGTCACCCCTTGAACCTCTTAAAATATACCCTACAAATCCAATCTCTCTTTTAATAAGACCTAACTAGTTTGCTGAGTTCTAGTAATCTCCAATACTTTTTCTTTAGTGACAGTCTATTAGTGATATTTCCAGAATTCTGTAACACCATAATGTGAAGGACTGTAGTGTCCTTACTGTTGTTTGAATGTCACCTCTCTCAGCTGTAATTCAACACAGTTCAAATGTAAATTTTTAAGAGCTGAAATGTAGTCTCCATATTTACATCGCTTCTCATCAGATGTTTATTCCTCCAAAATGTCTGCTCTCACTTAGGCCTGGTCTACACTAAAGGGGAAAGTCAACTTAAGATACGCAACTCCAGCTACATTCATTATGTTGATGGAGTCAAAGTATCTTAAATCATGTATTGGTGCCAACCACACAGTGGGAGGTTGGCAGGAACACCCATTCTCATCGATTTCCCTTACTTCTTGTGAGGAGCAGGAGTACTGACACTGATGGGAGCGCCCTGTCTTTGAATTAGCAGGTCTTCGCTAGATCCGCTAATTCAAACCCTGGAAGACCGATGCAGGTCTTCGCTAGATCCGCTAATTCGAACCCTGGAAGACCGACTGCGGTAGCATCAACTTTGCCGTA